TTCAAAGTGAGCATTTGGCCCCCCCGTTTCCTCCCCAGGCTGTGCCAGACGCTGCAGACGGAGAAGGAGAACGTCCTGGACCAGCTCGTGATGGAGTGCCACTTGGACCCCTCCCTCCGCGAACACCTCGCCATCGTCACCCGTACCTTCCAGAACCGCCAGGCCACCGTCCAAGAGGACGCCCTGCTCTTCAACAACAACATCTTCTCCATTGAGCCAGTGGTAAGCAAAACAGGGCCCCGAAAGGAAGCCACAAGCTTTAGAAGACGAGTGCCGTTGATGTCATGCTTGGCCCAAGGGCCCAAAGATCCCTTTTGCATGGAAGAAACACACAAATGGTCCTGTGAGTTTATGACAACCAAGTTGCTGCTCCAAATGGTAATGAAGGCTGGATCTGTAGTGGTAGCTTTGCAGATCTACACTGCAATATGATCCAGATTACGAAAGAAGATAATCCAGATTATCTGCTTTGAACTGAATTGTATGAGCCTACACTGCCATCTAATCCAGTTTTTTTTTTTGGTCATGTCAGGAGCGATGTGAGAAACTGCAAGTCACTTCTGGTGTGAGAGAATTGGCCACCTGCAAGGCCTTTCCCAGGGGACACCGGGATGATTTTTGTGATGGTGCCACTGCTGTGAAGGCTCTGTGTCTGGTTGCTGTCAGACGCAAAGTCTTGACACTGGGGACTTCCAATAGATCTTGGTCCTCAGAACAGAGGGATCTCTGGGGTTGGTAAGGGGTGAGGCGGTCCCTCAGGTACATCGGCCCCAGACCATGCAAGGCCTTCAAGGTGAGTACCATCCCTTTGAAAGTGATCCGGTGCTCAATGGGTAACCAATGCAGCTGCAGGAAGATTGGGGTGATGTGGCATCTCATCAGAGTTCCCACAAGAAGCCGAGCAGCTGCATTTTGTACCAACTTGAGCTTCCGGATCACTGACAGAGGAAGGCCAATGTAGAGGGCATTACAGTAGTCCAGTCTTGAGATGACCATGACCTGGATCACCGTAGTTAGGTCGTCCCTGGACAGGGAGGGGGCCAGCCGTCTAGCCTGCCGCAGGTGAAAGAAGGCGGTTTTGCTCACGGCGGAGAGAGACCTGGGCCTCCATCATCATCAGAGGGTCCCAAAGGACTCCCAGACTCTTGACCAACTATGACGGGCATAGCGCCTCGCCATCCAGGGTGGGCAGCTGGATGTCCCCACTGCCCGGTCGACCTAGCCATAGGATCTCCGTCTTTGCCGGATTCACCCTCAACCTGCCAGCACGCAGCCATCCAGTCATGGCCTCGAGGCACTGATGGAAACAATCAAGTATGGAGTCTGGTCGGCCTTCCATCTTCAGCACCAGCTGAGTGTCATCCACGTACTGGTCACACTCCAGCCCAAAACCTCGAACCAGCTGAGCAAGTGGTCGCATAGAGATGTTAAACAACAGAGGGGAGAGAATGGCCCCCTGAGGAACCCCACAAGAGAGAGGGGGGGGGACCTCTCAGAGACCAGGCCTCCCCTCTCCACTCGCTGTCCACGGTTGTGAAGGAAGGAGGGGAGCCCGTTTAAAGCTCTCCCCCTGACTCCAGCAACAGCAAGGCGGTGGGTCAAAAGATTGTAGTCGACTGTGTCCAATGCTGCTGTGAGATCCAATAACACAAGCAGTGCCGACCCGCCCTGGTCAAGCTGGCATGGAAGGTGATCCGTGATGGAGACCAGCACAGTCTCTGTCCCGTGCCCCGCACGGAAGCCGGACTGGAAGGGATCTCGTCCGGCTGTGTCGTCTAGGAATTGCTGCAACTGCTCCGCTGCTGCCCTCTCCATCACATTGCTTGAAAGACGATAAACCCATGCTTGCAATGAAAGGTTAAGAAACAGGAGTTTGAAAAAATCAGAGCATGTTTGTGGAAAATACAAACCCAGACCGTCAGAATGATTTCTTTCCCAACCTCTGGGGAATGGAGCTGGTTACGCAACCCTGGCTTTCCGAGTGCCTTTCAGATTTCACTTGATTTAATTTTGCAAAGGAAACAAGGGGGGGGGGGAGCCAGGGTGGGGGGAATCCAGGTGGTGAGCAGAGGGCACGGGCCGGCCTGCTTTGCACCTGATTGCTGAGTGGCCCTGTTCCCGTTGGGCGCCTCCTGCGCCATTGGCGGCAGCCGGCCATTCACATTGTGAACATGTGCGAGCTGACGCTTCGGAAATGGAAACCGAAAGGAGGAAAGGAAAGGAAAGGAGGGAGGAAAGACAGGTTGTGCTAGACCTCCGCACTGCCCTTGACGGGGCCTCACCCGTCCTCTTCCCAATGCCTCTTCTCATGGTGCCGATTGTCAGGAATCTAACTCGGTCCATTATCCAAAGTTTGTTGTTGTTGTTCATTCGTTCAGTCGTCTCCGACTCTTCGTGACCTCATGGACCAGCCCACGCCAGAGCTCCCTATACAGAAGATCTGTATAGGAAGGATAATAATATCGAGGATAGTTTTGACGGTGTGGTGAATGAATTAGAACCAGACATCCTGAGGAGTGAGGTTGAATGGGCCTTAAGAAGCATTGCTAACAACAAGGCAGCAGGAGACGACGGGATCCCAGCTGAACTGTTTAAAATCTTAAAAGAGGATGCTGTCAAGGTGATGCATGCCATTTGCCAGCAAATATGGAAAACACAAGAATGGCCATCAGACTGGAAAAAATCAACTTATATCCAAAGTTTACACTACATAATATATTTTTTGTTCCTGGGTTATCAAAGCCATTTCTTAATTGGTCCCAGGCCCGTAGCCAGGATTTTGATTCGGGGGGGGGGGGGGGGGGGGGGGGGGGGGGGGGGGCGGGGGGGGGGGGGGGAGGGGGGGGGGGGGCTGAGTCTGAGCGAGAGAGGACCTACTCTAGCAAACCTTTGTATCGTTATACAAATCATTATATATTGAGTTTGTTATTTGGGAGTTGTAGTTCCTGGGATTTATAGTTCACCTACAATCAAAGAGCATTCTGAACTCCACCAACGATAGAATTGAACCAATCTTGGAACACAGTTCTCCCATGACCAACAGAAAAAAATGGAAGGGTTTGGTGGGCATTGACTTTCAGTTTTGGGAGTTGTAGTTCACCTACATCCAGAGAGCACTGTGGACTCAAACAATGGATGGATCTGGACCAAACTTGGCACGAATGTTCCATAAGCTCAAATATGAACACAGATGGAAGTTGGGGGAAATAGACCTTGACATTTGGGAGTTGGGGTTACTGGGATTTATAGTTCACCTACAATCAAAGAGCAGTCTGAACTCCTCCAACAACAGAATTGGGCCAAACTTCCCACACAAAACCCCCATACTGAAGGCCATCCAGTCCAACTCCCTTCACCAGAGCAAGAAAATGTAATCAAAGCGCTCCTGACAGAGAGCCATCCAGCTATAGATATAGATATATATGATTCACACACAGAGAGGTATAGTATTCTAGATTTGAAAGGGACTCCTAAAGAAGGACAATGATATGTTGCATGTTCCAGAATAGGCAAAGCAGACAATCTCCACATCAACAGTGACAAAAAAACCAGCAAGAAATACTGTTGACCCACAAGCAGAAAGACATTACATAGATTAGAAACCAACACTTTCTCATTACTTTATTTTTGAGATCACCAGACTGGGCCACAGCAATGCCTGGCAGGAGACAGCTAGAATGTCATAAATATAGACATACACACATATAATGGAAAAAGGGAACATACAAGGAAATCATAAGGGATAAACCATGCAAGGTCAAGGGAGCCCCATCAGCCCTCCTTCCCTCCACAGTCTACCAAAGGTTCATATAGATCAGTGAAATATCATAAAAGTTCATAAGGGTTTGCTATAGGGTCATAAGGGTTCATAAGGGTTTGCTATGAGGAGCCTTCTAATCCAGGTGAAAGAAGAAAGCGCAAAAGCTGGGTTGCAGCTAAACGTCAAAAAAACCAAGATTATGGCAACAAGAATGATTGACAACTGGAAAATAGAGGGAGAAAACGTGGAGGCTGTGACAGGGTTTGTATTTCTAGGCGCAAAGATGAGTGCAGATGCAGACTGTGGCCAGGAAATCAGGAGACGCTTCCTTCTTGGGAGGAGAGCAATGTCCAGTCTCGATAAAATAGTAAAGAGCAGAGACATCAGACTGGCAACCAAGATCCATTGCCTAGTCAAAGCCATGGTATTCCCTGTAGTCACCTACGGATGTGAGAGCTGGACCTTAGGGAAGGCTGAGCGAAGGAAGATCGATGCTTTTGAGCTGTGGTGTTGGAGGAAAGTGCTGAGAGTGCCTTGGACTGCGAGAAGATCCAACCAGTCCATCCTCCAGGAAAGAAAGCCCGGCTGCTCACTGGAGGGAAGGAGACAAGAGACAAAGTGGAAGTCCTTTGAATGCCACATCATGAGGAGACAGCAAAGCCTAGAGAAGACAATGATGCTGGGGAAAATGGAAGGAAAAAGGAAGAGGAGCCGATCAAGGGCAAGATGGATGGGTGGTATCCTTGAAGTGACTGGCTTGACTCTGAGGGAGCTGGGGGTGGTGACGGCCAACAGGGAGCTCTGGCGTGGGCTGGTCCATGAGGTCCCGAAGAGTCGGAAATGACTGAATGAATGAACACAACATAGGGCCCAAAAGAGTTCCAAAGTCCATGAAAAGTTGATTAAAGATTTCTAAAAGTTCATAGGAAAGTCCATAAAGTGTGGATTACAGGGGCCTTGCCACGTGGGGCCATGGAAAGAGCCTTAGGTTCCCACATGGGGGGGGGGGGGATTATGGGATCATTCCAACCTGGTGTCCTTGGTAAAACTAGGAATTCCTTGGTTTTAAACCATCTTTTACAAAGTCCTGGTGGGGGGGGGGGTCACCTCTGATATCAAATGAAGATAATAGACCATATTTAGGTGACAATAGAGAGCCCTTCTTGTTTTAAAGGCCTCCGACTATTTACAGGAGGTTCTTGTGGGTTTTTTTGGGCTATAGGGCCATGTTCTAGAGGCATTTCTCCTGACGTTTCGCCTGCATCTATGGCAAGCATCCTCAGAGGTAGTGAGGTCTGTTGGAATAGGACAATGGGTTTATATATCTGTGGAATGGCTGGGGTGGGGCAAAGAGCTCTTCTCTGCTGGAGCTAGGTGTGAATGTTTCAACTGACCACCTTCATTAGCATTTGAAGGCCTGGCTGAGCCTGGGAAAATCTTTTGTTGAGAGGTGTTAAGATGTGCCTGGTTGTTTCCTCTCTGCTGTTTTGCTGTTGTAATTTTAGAGTTTTTTAATACTGGTAGCCAGATTTTGTTCATATTCATGGTCTCTTGGGATCCTCTCACCTCTGCAGGAGTCTACCGTATATCATGCAGCTGTGGACAAGTCTACATAGGGACCACCAAACAAGCATTGCCCAAACATGAATCAAGGAACATGAAAGGCACTGCAGACTACTTCAACCAGAGAAGTCAGCCATAGCAGAACCTGATGAACCAACCTGGACACAGCATATTATTTGAGAACACAGAAATGCTGGACCACTCTCACAACCACCATGTCAGACTACACAGAGAAGCCATTGAAATCCCCAAGAAGCATGTGGACAATTTCAACAGAAAGGAGGAAACCATGAAAATGAACAAAATCTGGCTACCAGTATTAAAAAACTCTAAAATTACAACAGCAAAACAGCAGAGAGGAAACAACCAGGCACATCTTAACACCTCTCAACAAAAGTTTTTCCCAGGCTCAGCCAGGCCTTCAAATGCTAATGAAGGTGGTCAGTTGAAACATTCACATCTAGCTCCAGCAGAGAAGAGCTCTTTGCCCCACCCCAGCCATTCCACAGATATATGAACCCATTTTCCTAGTTCCAACAGACCTCACTACCTCTGAGGATGCTTGCCATAGATGCAGGCGAAACGTCAGGAGAAAATGCCTCTAGAACATGGCCCTGTAGCCCGAAAAAACCCACAAGAACCTAGTGATTCCAGCCATGAAAGCCTTCGACAATACATATTTACAGGAGCAATTCTACTTGGTTTACTTGAACAAGAGTGGTGCACTCGTGCTCCCTTTGTAGTCTTGGAACCTTATTGCCTAGTTCGCTCCCATCTCTCCCCATATGTTGCCAATCACGCAATGCTGGCATTCTGGTCCAGGGTTGCGTTCCTCAGGAGAAGGTCAGGTGGGGTCCCATTCGGCAACGACAGCAGCAGGAAGCGTTCCTCCTCGAGACGCAAGCTGTGCGGTGGAACAAAGTCATGTTGCCTTCCTCCCCTGGGGCAGGGGCTTTCAATTATTCACCGGCATCTCAGCCACCCAAACGCAAAGCGTGGGCTTCGTTGGAGGGGAATCTGGGCAACGGGGAGAGGTGGGCCACCTACGTTCAGCTCTCCCATTGGTGAAAGCATGGCATGGTATAAGCACAGCGAAGTCGAGCATGGAGAGAAGGACGTTTGACTTTGGGAGAAGCCCAGGAAGGGAGAGGGAGGATGAGGAAGGGAAGGAGGAGGAAGCACAGAGAGACTTCTGTGGGAGTGTAGCTGGACGGGATGGTTACCATACAACTGCCCAACTGCCTCTCTTTCTCTCTTCGCCTGTGTATTTCTCAGTCACCTCCCTATTTATCCACCCGTGTCTTCTCTTCATCTGTAGGAGGGGGATGTTTGGCCCAACTCCACGGCCGAAATCAGCGTGATCTTCAGGCCCCAAGAAGCCGGGATTTATCACCACACGGTGTACTGCGACATCTCAGGTATCACTCTCTGTCCGCATATACTCACTTCTTTTCTTGGTTACACTTCCTGTTGAGTCACAGCTCAGGAGACTTTCATGATATTTTGATTCATAAATGGACTAAAGTATAGAGTAGATCCGTGATGGTGAACCTATGACACACGTATCAGCACTGACACGCATGGCTATTTTTGATGACGCGCGGCGACATGCAGCCGCATACAGAGAAGTACACCTTATAAGAGCCAATCTCTACAATCTCAAGGCTCTACAAAATTAACATCTGCACCTTTGAGCATTGTTCACTCCATAACTCAGCATGGAATATACATTTTTCTTATTTAAACTATAAATATTGCAAAATTATGTTGCTTTTTTATCGAAATTGACACCCCACCCAAGTTATGCTCAGGTTTTTGGCAAATTTTGACACACCAAGCTCAAAAGGTTGCCCATTAGGCTTGGGCGGTTTCGTTCGTTAATTTCGTAATTCGTTATTAATTCGTATTTAAATTAGCTTACGATCCGATATTGAGCCATGCAGGAGTAATTAAAAATCATTTTATTTCGTAATTGTTTCGTAATTGTTTCGTAATTGTTTCGTAATTATTTCCGTATGTCTGGTGCAAGTTTTAGGGTTGTTGTTTGTTTTATCAGTGATAAAAAAATAAATTATCACACCAACAGTCAACAACAGAGGGAGAGGGAAGCTTCAGAAGTTCCCCCTGTCCCATTTGGAGGCTTTTTTAGCATATTGCGCAATCGCGCCCGCCATTAACGAATCGGTTCAGAATTGTTTCGTAATTGTTTCGTAATTTTACAAAATTTCGTATATTTTGAACTTTTTTAAAGAAAAATTTCGGAATTCTTTTTAAAAACGAAACGCAAAAAACCCCTAAAAACGAAACGAGTTTAGAACCAAATTTTTCCGTAGTTACCCAAGCCTATTGCCCATCACTGGAGTAGATGGATCACCTATAGAGTAGATCCATCCATAATTGTATTGCCGAGGACTTTCACGTCCAGAATCACTGGGGTGTTTCCTGTGTGTTTTCTGGGCTGTGTGGCCAATGTGCTCCTTCTGACATGGATTTGCTCCTTCTGACATGTTGCCTGCATCCTCAGAGGAGAAAATGCTGTGAGAACACAGCCATGCAGCCCAGAAACTACATAACACCCCAGGATCCATAATTGATTGGAAAACGATGTTCAAAGAGTCATTGTCAATGGCTGTGCTATAGACTGGAAGGAGGCCTTGAGTGCTACGGGGCTCATCAATATTTTCATCAATGGACTTAGACAATGAGTTAGAGGACATCTGTATCCAAAAGCAGGACACATTGGAAGAGAGGAACTGTTGCATCCCAGGCCTGGAAACACCTATGGTCACAGACCCACACAAGAGTCCAGAGCAGTGGTTCTCAACCTTCCTAATGCTGCGACCCCTTAATACAGTTCCTCATGCTGTGGTGACCCCCCAACCATAAAATTATTTTTGTTGCTATTGGTGTGGTTGGGGGGGTTGATTTTGTCATTTTGGATTTATAGTTCACCTACAATCAAAGAGTATTCTGAACTCTACCAGCGATGGAATTGAACCAAACCTGGCACACAGAACTCCCATGACCAACAGAAAATACTGGAAGGGTTTGGTGGGCAGTGTCCTTTGGTTTTGGAGTTGTAGTTTACCTACATCCAGAGAGCACTGTGGACTCAAACAATGATGGATCTGGACCAAACTATGCCCACATGTCAACACTGGTGAAATTTGGGGGAAAATAGACTTGACATGTGGGGGTGTCGTTGCGGGGATTTATTGTTCACCTACAATCAAAGAGCATTCTGAACCCCAGTAACAATGGAATTGAACCAAGCTTGGCACACAGAGCTCCCATGCCCAACAGAAAATACTGAAGGGGTTTAGTGGACATTGACTTTGAGTTTGGGAGTTGTAGCTCACCTACATCCAGAGAGCACTGTGAAATGGATCTGGACCAAACTTGGCTTGTTGTTGTTCATTCGTTCAGTCGTCAAACTTGGCACAAACACTCAATATGCCCACATGTCAACCCTGGTAGAATTTGGAGAAAATAGACTTGACATTTGGGAGTTGTAGCTGCTGGGATTTATAGTTCACCTACAATCAAAGAGCACTCTGAACCCTACCAATGGTAGAATTGGGCCAAACTTCCCACACAGGACTCCCATGACCAACAGAAAATTCTGTGTTTTGTGATGGTCTTCGGCGACCCCTCTGACACCCCTTCATGACCCCCCCAGGGGTCCCGACCCCCAGGTTGAAAAATGCTGGTCCAGAGGATAAGGAAACAGTGTATTGCAAAAACACATAAAAATATAGGAAAAATCAGGAATAAAGAAAGAATATATATATATATATATATATATATATATATATATATATTCCAAAAAGGGTTAGGATGAGGTGATAATCAAACAGTAATCCAAATGTCTCATGCAGATCCCAAGGTAACACAATCCAGAAATAGCAAAAAAAAAATTAAAAATAAATCACAAGTACAGCATAAGTCCACAAGCAAAAAAGTATACTTAATAAAACTCGAGCAGGAATACCAAAACAAGTATATAGAAAACTTCCAAGATACGTAAATCCAAAACCAAGGCTTGACTTGGAACAAGAACCGGAGATTTCAGGCCTAGCTTCTCCCTTGGACTCTACATTGCCTGAACGAACCCTTAGGTAAACAACTTGCTAATTAATAGGCTCCCATGAAGTCATGTCTTATCCCATGAATTTTCTCCCAAACTTTCCCACGTAAGCGCTCTGACAGTCGCTGTCTCTTTTCTGCTCTAATCTGTAAACAAAGACTTTTGTTGATCTCTGTAGTTCCGGGTATTTTTCCCTGGTAGCCTTCTGTATCGCTTAGCTTGCTGCCTGGCTCCTTATCTAATGTTACAGTTTCTGGCTCCTCTGACTGACCTTGAAGCCCTTCACTTTCTGAGTCAGGTTTTTTTCCCCCAGAGAGAACCATTATTTCTCTGACTTGAATCTTCATCACTTTGTGCCCCAGAAGACCCACAGGAAATCCCACAATCTCCTCTAAATCATCAATGAACCCATCAGCCTCAGGCTGTGCTATAACAGGAACAGAATTTAATAGAATGTTATTATTGGGTTGCTGTGAGATTTTGGGGCTGTATGACCATGTTCCAGTAGCATCCCTTCCCAGACAGCAAACAATCAAGTGCTAGTTAACACCTCCCAAACAAAAGATACCCCCAGGCAAACAACAGCCAGGCTATCTCTCACTGATTGGCTATGTAGTTGCAAGGCTATTCAAGCTTGCTAATTGCAACATTCATACTTGCTTCAAACAGACAATGGTTCTTTCACCCACCCTAGACATTCCTCAGATATCTATACACCTCGCCTGCCTCATTCCCATAGAGAATGCTTATGTGGGAAAGTTTGGGAGAAAATTCATGGGAAAAGATATGACTTCATGGGTGCCTATTAGGCTTGGGTAACAATGGAAAAAATTGTTTCTAAACTCGTTTCGTTTTTAGGGGGTCCATTGCGTTTCATTTTTTTAAAGAATTCCGAATTTTTTCTTTAAAAAATTTCGAAATTTACGAAATTTCGTAAATTTCGAATTGATTCGTTAATGGCGGATGCGATTGCGCAATATGCTAAAAAAACCTCCAAATGAAGAGAAGGAAAAGAATGGGACAGGGGGAACTTCTGAAGCTTCCCTCTCCCTCTGTTGATGACTGTTGGTGTGATAAAACAAACAACAACTATATTATATTATATTATTATATACTATATTATTATAATATTATTATATTATATATTATTATATTATATATATTATATTATATTATATATTATTATATTATATGATTATAATATTATTATATTATATGATTATAATATTATTATATTATATTATTGTATATTATATTATTATAATATATTGTATTATATATTATATATTATTATATTATATTACGAAAATAATTACGAAATAATTACAAAAATTGGAAAAATTGTTTCGATTCTTAATTACTCCTCACACTATTCCTGCATGGCTCAATATCGAATCGTAAGCTAATTTAAATACAAATTAATAATGAATTACGAAATTAACGAACGAAACCGCCCAAGCCTAGTGCCTATTAATTCGCAAGTTGTTTACCTCAGGCAATGTAGCATTTTTTTGTGGACATTCCACAGATATATATACTAGGGCTGTCCAAACACGGAAAAAATTGTTTCTAAACTCGATTCGTTTTAAGGGTTTTTTTGCATTTCGTTATTTAAAAGAATTCCGTAATTTTCCTTAAAAAAAGTTTGATATTTACGAAATTTCGGAAATCATAAAACAATTACGAATCAATTATAAATCGATTCGTTAATGGCGGCCGCGATTGCGCAATACGCTAAAAAAACTTCTGAAGCTTTCCTCTCCCTCTGTTGTTGACTGTTGGTGTGATAATTATATTTTTTTTCACTGAGAAAACAAACAGCAACCCTAAAACTTGCACCAGACATGCAGAAATAATAACGAAACATTTACGAAACATTTACGAATCAATAACGGATCAATAACGAATCAATTACGAAACGAATTGGAAAAATTCGTTTCGTTTTTTAGTTGCTCCTGAATGGTTCAATATCGCTTCGTTATAAAAAATAACGAATTTTTAACGAATTACGAAATTACGAAACGAAACCGCCCAGCCCTAATATATACACCTCACTTGCCTCATTCCCATAGACCTCTGAACAGACCTCTGAGAATGCCTTCCACAGATGCAGGCGAAATGTCAGGAGGGAATGCTATTGGAACATGGTCGTACAGCCCTGAAAACTCACAGCAACCCAGTGATTCTGGCCATGAAAGCCTTTGACAACACATTGTTGTTGTTTTTGTTGTTCTGTTTATTTTTGCTTTTTCTCTCCACAAGGAGATTCATAACGTTAAAATTGGACTGAGAAACATAGAGTTCCCGAGATTGTAACTTTCGCGTTCTAACCCTCCCTCGGCCCCTCTTGGCACCTTCTCTCCTCAATGTGGGCTTTGCTCCCTGCAGGCCGAGAGACTCGATTGCCGCTGCGCATCAAAGGCGAGGCCATGGGCCCCAAGCTGCTCTTCAACATTGACCAGCTGGACATTGGGAAGATCTTTGTTGGATCGTCCCACAGTTATGAGGTGAGCCCCGTTCCCATCACCAAGCTCTTCCCCTCTTCATCCCTTGAGGATCTGGGTCATTGGTCTCCCTGAAGCTTGGAGGAAGAGGGTGCCTCAATGTCCGCCTTCGGTCTTTGACATTTTCCAACTTGATGCCTCCTTCTCTGAGCCAAGACAAGAAGAAGTTGAAAATAGGAGAGGACACTATGAAAAATCCTTGTGTTGAGGCAGGGTGCTCAAATATCTCTAGTCTCTGTTCTCAACCAGAAACTAGAAATGAGGAGATTTAAAATACAGTAGTTTAATTGGCACAAAATTGGCCTAAATTAATGTCTATTTACAGGACGTGCCTTCTGTATGCCCAACGGGACGCTGGGGTGCCTCAGCTGAAGGGCCCCTTAGATTTCCCAGCACAAAGTTCTATTGAGGCTCAAAATAGGTTCAACAAAGTTCTTTATTTGGGCTTAAATCTTCAAACAAATGAATTAAATGCTTTATAGCCTTGGAAAACCAGTAGCTTCCTCAATCTGCTATTAAGGGCAGGCAACTGGTGGGAAACTGTTCCTTTCTTCCTTAGGGAAATCCTTTGACGCCTCCCTGGGCAATCTTTCTTTACCTTGTGAGACCTCTACTCCCAGCTCCAAGCTACTTTATGGATAGCCCGAGTGGTCCCTTACCAGACAAGATTTCTGTAGATCTGCCAACCTGAAAGGTGTCCTTTAGTTTACTCCACAAAGGATGTAGGAACTGTCCTGTTGCCCCAGCAAGGGTTGGCTGTATCCCCCCCAGCAAAACCTGTGGAACTATTCCTTTACTCCCCCAGCAGAGCTGTGAGTAGTGAAGCCTTTGTGCAGGTGGGATAGAGAAACCCACATGTCCTGCTGTTAGGCTTCAAACAGTGAGACTGAACAAAAGTCCTCCTTTGCCTCCAAAACCCTGGGAAAAGGGTTTTGAATGCAGTTTTCCTGCTTCTTGGCAGGGGACTGGACTGGATGGCCCATGAGGTTTCTTCCAACTCTATGATTCTATGAGGGGGGAAAGGAGAGGGCCTGAGACTGTTAGGAATGGTGGGAGTTGAAGTCCAAAACACCTGGAGAGAGGCCTGAAGTTTGCCCATGCTTGCATTAAGCCATTACATCATTATTTTATTACTGTGAGTGTGTGTATTCAGACCCATTGTGTCAATGCTAGCTCATTAGCCTCCTAGTTTTTTCCCATCCTCTATGAGAAAATTTATGGCCTTGCTGTGCCAACCAGATTTCTACTCCCAGCTACATCATCCACTCTCAGCCACATCACTGCTTAAGTGGCTGAGGGGGGAAAGGAAAGGGCCTGACGCTGTTAGGAATTGTGGGAGTTGAAGTCCAAAACACTTGGAGGGCCAAATTTAGCCTATGCCAGTGGACGGATCCCAATGGTGTCTGCTGTTGGGGTTCAGCCTGATCCTGATCTGTGTGAACCGGATTCTCTGATAGTTTTTCCAACTGAGCAAGCTCTCCCTGACAGTGTGGAATCTGTTGTTGATGCTGAGGTCAGCGGCGAGGAAAGTGAAACTGAACAGCTGGAGGAAAATGTTTTGGAAGCTAGCCGTGATATCTCTCCACCTGGGTTTTTTAATGAGGACCGAAGAGAACAGATAGTTAGAGACAGAAATGTTTCACAGTTTCTACGAAGGTCAAATCGTTTACAGGAGAGACAGGCCCAGGCTTCAAAGTCAAGGGGCGTTTCAAAGAATATCTTCTTTGGTTTAAGGGGCCTCCTGCCGGGTGTCTCTTTAGATCAAGCAACGTTTGGGACTGTGGCTGTGCCTTGGCAGAATTCCTGTGTTCCATGGCCGGTAATCCCAGAGGCTTCTAGTTTTCAAGTTCATGGTTAGCGAGAGGCTAACAGGTTCCTGGTTCTTGTATTGTGGCTTTTGGAATTTTGCTCAAGTTCAGAGATTCTACTGACTGCTGTGTTTCTATTATGGCTTTTTGACTTTGCATTTACCTTTCTTTTGTAACCAATTTTTCATCAATAAACAAGGATTGTTTTTCCTACAGTCCAGTGTGGTGGATTTAATCTTATGGTCTTGTTTCTTGGTCTGGGATGCAACATCTGCCTGCCTTTGGGTCAAAGAGGATTCCTCCCTGTCCTCCCTCTTGCTCGCAGGTGGTCCTCTCCAACGAAGGTGCGATCGACGGCCTCTTCAACCTCACCTGGCCGGCCACGGCCCTGGGCTCCTCCTTTGCCTTCCGGCCCAGCGAGGGCATCATTGAGCCCAGGAACCATCAGGCCATCCACGCCACCTTCAGCTCCACCGTCCTGGGACACTTCTGCGAAGAGTTCAAATTCAACGTCAACGGCTCTCCCCAGCCTGTCAGTTTGGTGATCCGGTAAGTCGGAAAAGCTACCGATATCAGCTTCCTTCGTGTCAGTGCTGGAGTTGGCTTTCAAAAGCTTGCATTTTGGAAAGGTCACTCTTTCTGCAGAGTTAGGCAGGGACAGGACTATCCTTACAAAGCACTCCCTGCCTTCCTTCCACTAGACTTGAATGTCACTCAGAAGAAGAAGATTATGCAGGAGGAAGGGGGAGGCTCCTTTGGAACAGCTTGCAAGGAGACCCCCATTTATTATTATTTATAAATTATTATTATTATTATTATTATTATTATTATTATTATTATTATGTAATAATGTTGTGGTAGTTAAGACAGCACCAAAAAAGACCTTTTTGTTGAGGGAGAGAAGTGCATTTATTCAAAGGACCCTGCTGGAATTCCTCTATTTTCTTAACTCTTCAGTAGATTGTGCTGTGAACACATGTCCATAAGAACTGTATTTTTCCACACATTGAAGACACATGCAATGTATTCCTATCTAATACAGCATTTTTTCTACCGGATATTTTCCCCACTACTTTCCTCTGTTCTGAAAGCAGCATTGGTTCTTAACTTGTTTCCTAAACAATGTTGTGGCTCAGGTCTGAGCCTGAGCTTTCTGAGCCTGAGTTTCCTCAGGACGAGGAGGATGATGGGTTACAGATTTCTGAACATGTCCCTGTTGTTGAGGCAGACAGTGTTGATTCTGAAGAAGAAACGGCATTTCTGTTTCCCAGAGAAAGGAATGTTGTTTTAGATGAAGGTCATGATTTAAGTGAAACTTCACAGCTGCAGGTGGAGGAGTCAGCTGCTCCATCTGGGAGCTCAGTGCCTCTCAGTTCCCAGAGTGACCAGTCCCAGGTTAATGAGTTATTTGGCCTTGAAGGTGATGGGGATTTGATTAGGGAGGACCGTTTGAAGTTAAGGGTACGCTGAAGTGCTCACCTTGCCAACAAACAGGAAGTTAGAGGTCAACGTAATGCTTTCATGCTAAGGAAACATATTTAACGATCTGATTGATGTCAATCCTTTGTCAGTGCAATGTTGCTTACACCCTGTTAACTTCTTTGGAATTACCTCGGCTTTTGGAGAAAGCTTTGAGCTCTTTGGGACTTTGGTTTTGATCTTGGTTTTTGGGGACCTTGTCATGCTGCCATGGATTTTTGTTTAACCAATGCTAATATATTATACTTCATGTTATTTGCCTTTGGATCTTGGAAACTTTGCCTTTGCATTTAAGACTCTGTTTTGGCTATTGAACTTTTGCAACTTTATTTCTATGTTTACGACTTTTGCTTTTTCTTCAATAAATTACAAAACCTACAGCCTTGGAGTGTGGTGGTGTTTTGAGCAAGGTGAATCTACCCTGAGCTGCGATAAACAAATACATTGTTTTCCTTTTTTCCAGAGGCTGCGTCATTGGACCCACATTTCACTTCGACGTCCCATCCCTCAGTTTTGGTGATGTCTCCTTTGGTATGTCTGCCATGTTTGGGAATCCCAGTTATGGCTGGGACATGTTCTTATGGCTGTATAAACAATGAAATGGGCTTTCCACCAAAGCGGCAAGAGTGGCTTCCATTGTGGGGGAATTGTCAGGGATAGTGATGAGGAAGAAGACGAAGGGCTGCTTGTTGCAACCCAGAAGCAGGAAACGAGACCATTGGATATCAATCCACCACACTTGACTGTAGGAAAAACAATCCTTTTTTATTGATGAAAAATTGTTACAAAATAGTAGAAAATGCAAAAAGCCACTGTAAAATTCAGCAGTCAAAAATATCCATGAAATACATCAAAATTCCAAAAGCCACACTAAAAACCTGGAACCTGTTAGCAAACCACTAACCGTACTTGGAGTACTAGAAGCCTCTTGGGATGTAGGCCACGAGAAACGGGAACTCTGCCAAGGTAATGCCTCAGTCTAAACGATGCCTGATCTAACGAGACAGCCCGGGGAGAGGCACTTAAAACTAAAGAAACTGTTTCGGGACACGCCTCCAGGCTTTGAAGCCTGTGCTTCCCTTTGCCTTAATCTGCTTGACCTTCGCAGACTCTGCGATTCACTCCTGTTTTTCCAAATCTGCTCTTTTCTATCCTCATTAAGGAAGCCAGGTGCTAACTCCTCTGGAGAACTATCACCGCCTGGCTCTGCAACATTCTCATCAGGCTGTGTAGTTTCACTTTCCAAGCCACTGACCTCTGAATCAACATTTTCATTACCATCAGGGAAAAATACATGTTCAGTAGCCTGTTCAGTTGCATCAGGAAATACAATCAGAGAATCAGGTTCAGGTTCACATGCAGGCTGAACCCCAACCCTGCTTCACCCAGCACCTACATCGGAGATAAACAGAGAGTGGCACCTGATCATCCTGAGGCTGAGGGATCTCCTGTCGAACAGGACCAGGAGCCTCAGGAGGAACACAGAGTTAGGGTAGGGTTGGGAGCTCGAGGAAGCAGAGCAGGAGTTAAGCCTTCCAGCTATTAAGGCTGCCATTAAGACCTGATGCCATCATTCAATGGAAAGGATCAAATCAGTTCAATCAGAGGAGAGCCAATAGGGGAGAGGAGAGCCAATTTGGGAAAGTGGCATGAAGAGCTAGAGGCTGGAGGTGGTAGTTGCTGGAAGCAACGTTGTGGAATTGCTACAGATGGTGAACTCTTGGATGGAACTTTGACTTTGGTAACTGGACTCCATTTTTGGACTATGACTTGAGTTGGTGAGAAAGCTCAGCTTTAACCATAGGAAAGAACCCTGGACTATTCCTATGCTTTGCCTTTGTTGGACTGCTTGCTGTGTATGACTATGGACTGCCTTTTGTCAACAAGTGTCTGAATTAGCAGGGGTTCTGTGTCAGGTCCTTGACAGGAGCATTGCCTGGGTGAGGTGGCCCCTTGGAGCCCTTCCACCCACCATCCCCACTGACTGGCCTCTTTCCCCCTCCATTGCAGGCTTCCCTCGTTCCCTGTCCTGCTGCCTCAGCAACACCTCCTTAGTGCCCTTGACCTTCAACCTCCGGGTCCCAGGAGACGGCAATGGAGAGCCCAGCGTCACCAGCCGAGACCAGGCCGCTGACATCTTCCGGCCGTCGTGGAGGAGGAAGGCAGGGTTGGGAGGGCCAAAGCCAAAGGAGTTTGTCATCTCACCCAGCCATGGGACCATCCGCCCCCAAGGAGCCATGGACATCCAGGTAGGTGCAAATGCAGATCCCACAAAGGGGAGATGGCCAGAAGGGAAGCATTTTTGGGTGGGAAGCCTTTCATTAGAATTGGCATCACAGTCATTTTACCTGGGTGACACAAGGTCAGAACTGGAGTCCAGTGCTTTCTAAAGGGAAAGGAAGGCCGTCCTTTGTTGCCAGCCCTTCTGGCTTTTCCTTTGGCCACTTCCTTCACTGCGATGCCTAACATCCCTGCCTTTGAAGTGAGATTTAAGGAAACTCGAATGCTTTCTGGGGGCCCTTTTTTGTCACGATGCCAAGGTTTTGCCTTATTCAGGTAGAGATTAACCAAACAAACTCCCAGTTTGTGTTAAACAGTTTATAGCAGCACTTACCTTCTAGCTGTTTTAATAGTCCGAAAACAAAAAAAACATAAAGATAGCACTCAGCCACAGAATATAAAACAAAACTGCCAGCAAACACTGTTGCAGATTCAAGAGAACACCATAGTCAAAAGGTCCAATCCAGTGGTCAAATCCCAAGAGTTCAATGAGCAAAGTCCAGGTATCAAGAGTCTACACTGTAGTACAAAGACAGTTCAAAGATTCAAGGTTCCAAGGATACAGGAGACAGGTCAGGATACCGAAAATCCACAAACCTGGGGGGAAACCAGCAGCATCTACCACCAAGATAAGATCAGTCCCAAGGCTAGCTCATTATATCCAAAAACACCCAGCTGCAGCCTATCTCTTGCATACCTCCACCCTTCGTTGCTTTCACCCATGAACTCTTACTTACAGATTACTCAACCCTTTAGAACTAAGACTTACATTAACCATTCCATCACCAACTGCTAGGCCTACCACCACCAACCATCATCAACTGCAGAACATGATACATGACATTCTTCCTGTTATCAGACTCTGTCTCTCCTTCCCACGGCAGGTGACCTTGTGCTCCAACACGGTGAAGAGCTACGAAACGGCGCTGGTGGTGGACGTCAAGGGCAGCGGGGAAGACGTCCTGGCGCTCCCAATCACAGCAAGGTAGAATGGCTTCTTCAACCTCTCACCTTGCCCCAAAGCAGGGGCCTCACCTCTGGCTTCCTTTGGGGTGTCTCAGGCAATGAGGGGCTCCACATAAGTCAGACGTTAGCACAGCAGAGTAACAACCAGCTGCAGTAAACCTTGCCAGTTGGAAGCCTGGCTCAGGATGAGCTCCTGGCTTTTATCCCAGCTTGTGCCTACCTAGCAGTTTCGAAAACAGCAATTTGAGTAGATAAATAGGTACTGCTTAAGCAGGGAGGAAATGCCAGACAAATGTTGTCAATTCGATCAAGGAGGAAGTTCATGAACAAAGCTCTTCAGCAGGGAAAGTGGAGCGACAGCACCCCCTCATGGCCGGAACTGAGCATAGCATCCAAGATGCCAAAGATGGGAAAGCCTAAATTAACCTCTGTCTATGTACAGTTGGTTGCCGTATATGTGTTCTGTGATCTGCCCCTTTGGGGTGAGAAAGAAGGGCGGAATATCAATACTGTAAGTAAATTTCTGCCCCACTTGCCCCACTGCTTCTCATCATCTCATCCTGGCCGTGGGATCATGTAGAGGTGCTTCTATGGCCAAAAGGTCCCTTCAGGATCAACCAGCCCACGGAGACATTATTACTATCATTATCATTATTATTATTATTATTATTACTACTACTACTACTACTACTACTAATACCCATATTGACTTGAGTCTTAATGCATCATCGGATCTAATGCACACCTCAATTTCCAAAATCCTGAAACCAAAAAAAGGAGAGAGTATTTGCTGGTGGTTATATGAGGGTTGAATGAAAAGTAATGCCTCCACCTTCGTAACTCCTCAACAGATGGCAGTATTGGTATGCAGCAGGTACTGGCTTGTTCAGTAGACTCTCCTCTACAGTTCCATTTTGGCGGGAAGCCTTAGCATTGAATGGTTGTGTTGTTAAAGTGCAAAGTAATGCCTCCACCTTTGTAACTCCTCAAATGCTAATCAAGGTGGTCAGTTGAAACAGTCACACCTAGCTCCAGCAGACGAGAGTCCTTTGTCCCACCCTGGTCATTCCACAGATATATAAACCCATTTTCCTATTCCAACAGACCTCACTACCTCTGAGGATGCTTGCCATAGATGCAGGTGAAACGTCAGGAGAAATGCTCCAGTGGTTTTCAACCTGGGGTCCCCAGATGTTTTTGTCTTTCAACTCCCAGAAATCCTAACAGCTGGTAAACTGGCTGGGATTTCTGGGAGTTGTAGGCCAAAACACCTGGGGACCCACAGGTTGAGAACCACTGCTCTAGAACATGGCCATATGGCCCAAAAAAACCTACAACAAACTAAGATGAAACAGATGCAAAAAAAACCAATTAAATATCCCTTGGAGCCAACAGAGTGTTAATTGCACAAGAGATGCCAGCTCAAAGTGGCCCAAACAAGCCACCTCCCCATCTTCCTTTGTGTCCCTTGGGCACGTCACACTCTCTCAGCCTCCGAGGAAGGCCAAAGTGGCAAACCCTCTCTGGGCAAATCTTGCCTAAGGCTGGCAGTGGCCACAGGGGTGGGAATGAGTTGCCCTTTGTGGGGCAGTTGTGTGGGAACCAAGGCACCTCTTCCAAATGCTTCCCACTGTCATGACCGTTCTGACCCTGTGCTGAGCAATGGAGGAAGTGGGTTTTTGAAGGGGTCTTGAGTGGGGTGGAATCGGGTTTCAGCCAAACAGCCTGAGCTGTGAAATGCGAGCAGGAGCTGTCCTGGCTTGGAGAAGGACGAGGGTCATTTCTCCGGCAGAGGAAAGAACAACGGCAGGCGGGTGAGCATCTTGGCCGTCCCTCTCCAGCCGGGTGTGACTTCCAGCCGAGACCTGCCTGCTGTCATGTGCCTGCGCACATCTGTCCGGCTGAAGGATGGGCCTGCGAGAGGGGGACACTTTCCCTTGGAAGGCTGGCAAGGGCACGGGAGGCGTGCGGGCTGACGTCAGGACAAGCACCGCCGACTTGTCTGAAGGAGGGCAGCTGTCTCGTCTGGGACCTTCCCACCTTGTCCTCCTTCCCTCACAACAAGCTGTCCTGCATCCTGCTTTTCTCTTCCTTCCTTCCTTCCTTCCTTCCTTCCTTCCTTCCTTCCTTCCTTCCTTCCTTCCTTCCTTCCTTCCTTCTTTCTTTCTGTCGGTGGTCCCCATTACATCCAAACGCCCTTCCACACACCTTGCAACCAAGAGCCCTTCCCCAGCAAGCAGAACCTCTGGCCCTTGAACCCAGGGTTTATTTATTATTTACTAGCTTGGGTACCCGGCAATGCCCAGGTTATTTGAAAAAGGCATTGTTTATTTTGGGTGTATGGTAATATCATTTAGTTAACTAGTAACACTATTTATTAGGAAAAAGCCAGTCTTTGATTTCGTTTTTTATGAATTCTCCCATTAGAAAATACATAACAATGTGGGTGAACTACAATTCCCAGAATCGTGGGTCAATCTTCCCCAAACCAGGCCTGTGTGCACAATTGGCCATGTTGGGTACGTGTGTCAAGTGTGGTCCAGATCTGTTGTCAGCTGGGTTCAGTGCTCTCTGGATAAGGGTGAACTACAACTTCCATATGCCAAGGGAGTCACCCCTAAATCAGTCCCCCAAACCCCTCCAGTCTGTTCAGTTGCTGATCAATTCATCTGTGTTTGTTGTGTGCTATAGGAAAAGGTAGGAAAGGGTTAAGGGACAAGAGGGAGGGGGCTGACCTGATCTCATTAGGAAGGGAGCCGAGGGGCAATCACTGAGAAGGCCCTGTCTCTCGTCCCCGCCAAACGCTCCTGTGAATCTCTGGGATGATTCATAGGGGAGAGATATGTTTGGACAGGTAAATTGGCCCGGGGCCGTTTAGGGCGTTGTAGGCCAAAGCCAGCACTTTGAATTGTGCCCGGTAGCAAACTGGCAGCCAGTGGAGCTGGTGTAACGTGGGAGTTGTGTGCTCCCTGTACGCCGCTCCAGTTATTAACCTGGCTGCCTCTCGCTGGACTATTTGAAGCTTCCGAGCAGTCTTCAAAGGCAACCACATATAATCTAACATTGCAGTAATCTAACCTAGATATGATGAGAGCATGGACCACTGTGGCCAAGTCTGACTTTCCAAGGTTCAGGCACAACTGGCACAGAAGTTTTAAATGTGCAAAAGCCCCCCTCGCCACCACTGCAACCTGAGATTCCAGGCTCAGCGATGAGTCCAGGAGGACCCGCAAGCTGTGAACCCGTGCCTTCAAGGGGAGTGTGACCCCATCCCAGTCTAGAGAGAATACAGGTCCAAAGTCACAACGCTGGCTTGTCCCGTGCAAGGAATGCAGGACGGTCAGGGCTTTGATTGTGAAAGGCACTGAATCTGAGAGAGAGGGTCTTGAGGAACATTTGGGGCACACAAAGAAGTCTCTGAGATGCAACAGACACCCATTATCTTGGTCCAAATGTGGTTCTCCTTGCAATTGGGCTCTTCCTGGCCTCTGGGTGTAGGTGAACTACAACTCCCAAACTCAAGGTCAATGCCCATCAAACCCTTCCAGTATTTTCTGTTGGTGATGGGAGTTCTGTGTGCCAAGTTTGGTTCAATTTCATCGTTGGTGGAGTTCCGAATGTTCCTTGATTGTAGGTGAACTATAAATCCCATCAAGTACAACTCCCAAATGACAAAATCAATCCCCCACAAGTATTCAAATTTGGCATAATGGGTGTTTGTGCCAAATTTGATACAGTGAATGGAAATACATCCTGCATATCGGATATTTACATTATGATTCACAACAGTTGCAAAATGACAGTTATGAAGTAGCAATGAAAATAATATGATGGTTGGGGGTCACATTTGGGCATATTGAGTATTTGTGCCAAGTTTGGTCCAGATCCATCATTGTTTGAGTCCACAGTCCTCTCTGGATGTAAGTGAACTACAACTCCCAAACTCAAGGTCAATGCCCACCAAACCCTCGCAGTATTTTTTTTATGTTGGTCATGGGAATTCTGTGTGCCAAGACTGGTTCAATTCCATCATTGGTGGAGTTCAGAGTGAACTATAAATCCCAGCAATTACAACTCCCAAATGTCAAGGTCTATTTCGCCTGAACCCCACTAGTGTTCACATTTGGGTATATTGAGTATTCGTGTAGAGTTTGCTCCAGATCCATCCACAGTGCTCTCTGGATGTTGGTGAACTACAACTCCCAGACTCAAGATCAATGCCCACCAAACCCCCCCAGTATTTTTTGTCGGTCATGGGAGTTCTGTGTGCCAAGTTTGATTCAATTTCATCGTTGGTGGAGTTCAGAATAGCCTTGAATTATAGGTGAACTATAAATCCCATCAAGTACAACTCCCAAATGTCAAAATCAATCCCCTCCCCAAACCCGCCAGCATTCAAATTTGGGCATATTGGATATTTGTGCCAGATTTGGTGCAGGGAATGAAAATACATCCTGGATAATCCGATATTTACAAAATGACAGTTATGAAGTCGCAATGAAAATAATGTGATGGTTGGGGGTCACCACAACATGAGGAACTGTCTTAAGGGGTCGCGGCATTAGAAGGTTGAGAACCACTGCTCTAGCCGACGAAGGCAGGCTGGACTCTGCTTTCCTGGAAGAGCTGGAAGCAAGCCCTGTCCCTGCCTGCCTGCTTTTCTCAACTAGGTGCCTCACCCCTCCGCTGCACTTGGCCGATCCCACTCTGAATTTTGGGCACTGCTTCCTGAGGTTTCCGTACCAGCGCATGGCCACCCTCGTCAACGACACCAACCTCTTCGGCTGCTACGGGCTTCTTCCCCAGGTGGGTCTGGTCCTTCTTCTCCTGTGTCTTCTTGAAGGTCTTCGTGGCCAGAATAATTGGGCGTTGTTGTGTCATTTCTGGGCTGGACGACCAATGTATTCTAGCAGGATTTTCTCCTCCTGATGTTTCACCTGCACCTGTGGCTCCTGGCATCTTCAGAGGATCTGTTGGTGGCAAAGCAAGTGCAGTATATACCTAATATACTTGTGGAATAATGACCAATGTGGGAGAGAGAACCAACATCTGTTAAACAAGTGCAAGGAGGAAACTTGATTTGCAGATGTTGAGTGGGGTCCACCCGTTAGCATGTGAGTAACCATGAAGATTGCATCGTCAATGAGCGAGGGCATCTGCCTAGAAGTAGCCTGGCCTTTGTATCCTGGAGATATCCTTTGCCTTGATTGGTTGCTGCCTGGAGACCAGCTGTGCCCAGGTGGTGCTCATTAGTCTCTATCTTGGTTCTAATATTTTCCAATACTGGTAGCCACATTTTGCCCATTTTCATGCTTTTCGATATGGATGCCCCTCACTAATTGACTCTGCTATCTTCATGGTTACATGCTAATGGGTGGATCCCACTAAACACTCGTAAAACTAGCTTGCTAATTGCACCCTTTACATTAGTTTAATGGACAGTAATGTGCCACCCTGGACATTATTCCACCGGTATACTATACACTCCACTTGCTTGACTTGCATCAGATTTATTTATTTATTTATTTATTTATTTATTTATTTATTTACTGTATTTGTATACTGCCTTTCTCAGCCTATCGGCGACTCAAGGCGGTTTCCAACAAAACAGTATACATAGTATCATAATACAATTAAAAAACATTAAAATTACCTAAATCACAACAGCAATAAAAACAACATCATTGGCGCCTCCTTATTGTCAAGCATTGTCCAGTTCCATCGTCAGTTATCCATTCCTATGTCAGTTGTTTGTACCCGTTACTCTGTGTCTGTGAACGCTTGCTCAAACAGCCACGTTTTGAGTTGCTTCAGATCCTCTAAAGATGCCAGTAGCCGCAGATGCAGGTGAAACATCAGGAGAAAATGCTGCTCTTCCTCTTCAGTTTGGAGCGGCTTGATGCTCGCAAGGAAATGACAGGGAGAAGGTTTGAGGAAAAGAGACAAAAGAGAGTTCCTGAGGTCTGTAAAAGCACGGTTTATTTTCAGTTGACGCCAACTGGATATGGACCCTGCTGGTATTCCAGGAAACAGGGTGCTGAACAAAAGAATTGCCTTGGTTTATATACCTTTTAAAATAATATGCATGCATCATACAAGCATCACAATGTGTATCACAAAATTCCACTTTTAAGTTGCCTTCAATAGCATATTTTAACTTCAACACCTTTAATCTTCCATTAATCACCTTTATCTAAAGAGGTGCTATTAGTGGGCTATGTTGTAACCCATAGCACCAAAATGTCTACTGATAGCAAGAACTTCCATCCATCTTAAGATAAGTCCTTCCTGAAGAAGCCTCTTGATAGCAAGGCTCGTTAATCTTACGATAAGCCCTGCTTGGTACGAAATGGAAGGGTCTCTTGATATTTGCCAGAGACATTCCTTTCCTGGACCCTGGCCTCTTTCTGGCATCTACTTTGCCGCTTTTAAGAAGAGAATATTTTCCCAAGTGAAGTGAAGTTCATGCATACATACATATCCCTTTGTGATTTCATATATATTTTCTAATTCCTATTTCTAATATGGTTACATCCAATATATATTTTCCAATATATGTGTATTATGTATTTTCATCTTGCCTTCATCAGCAAGAGAAGAAGTTATCTTCAGGCTCAGCAGAGGAGGCTTCGGAGATCTGGAGGAGGGTCTCCTCTTCTGGGAAAAGGGGAACTTCCATGGAGGATGGTATAAAGGATCGAGATATAGTATTGTTATAGATCACGCAGCGTGTCACCAATTATAACGAAATATTATATATCCCACAGATGGACACCACTGTACAAGATTATATGTAATATCACACCACTGGACACCAGTATAAGGGATTATATCACAGCCAGTGACTCGAGGCTGGAGGATAATTAGTATTATGGCTGTGCAGGATGGATCCTTCTCAAAGATTTTTCTTTCTCCAAAAATCCCACCCCTGTGCCTCCAATATGGTAGCGAGATGCTGTTAGATATGTGTATTGGTAGAGTGAACACTGCTTGTCTTTTAGTCTTCTTTTGGATTAAAGCTGCCACCAACCTAAGTAGTTTTAGGCTTTTAGAATGGGTATTTGAGGTAAACTTTCCCCACTCCGTCCAACACTGTTTTTCCCCTGGCTCCCAAAATGACTGTTTGTTAAGAGGCTTTTCTGTAGTAACAAGATGTTAAAAATACTGGAATTACCACAAAGACTTGATGATTGAATGATGCGCAGTAGAGATCTTTTGAAAGTTAAATAGAAAAAAGTTTTATWTATAAAAACAGACAACTAACTACTTCTGAGAGGTACAAAAAGTGGGACTTGTTACAAAAGTACTTCAGTTTGATGGTTGCTTGAATAAGTTTCTTCACTTAGTTACAGACAGAGCTAATCAAACAGATCTAGCTGCTAGTAACAAAAATCCCTCACTCTACTTCAGAGAAATAATAATGAGTTTCTGACTAACCTATCTTAGGTAGTCCCCCYAGTTATTAGCTAACTCTTCCCTAGAGTTCTTCCTGCTAACTAACTCKGCCTAGAGAGCTAATCTCTTGTGCTAATTCCCACAAGAAATCAGGTTGCTGTCTGAGCTTTCTCCTGTCAGCTAACAGCACTGTCTGACACAGACACAATCTCTCTGGAAACCCAGTTTCAAAAACACTTCTTTACCCACCAGCTCCCAGTTCTCAACTCCCACAGAAGCTGAAATCTTTTCCCTCCTAAGACTTGGCTCCTCCCAACTCTTTTAGCCAATCCTAGGAGACCTCAAACTCCTCCCCTCTTCTATCTATCCTCACTCAAGATGGCTGCCTCCCTGGCATCCACTCCCAAAATGGAGGATTGCCATACTGTCATCCAGGCTTCCTTTCCGGCCTACTAGGTAAGATTCGCTACAGATTGGATTGGGAGGGAAAAGCGAGCGAGCACTTGAAGTCCCTTGTGATGCCAGTTGGGAAATGTGCCCCAAAGCAGAGCTGTTTCTTAAAGGGCTGCACAGAGAACACGAGGCCAAGGCAAAGTCAGGAAATATTGACTCGAGAAGGCCATGTTTCTGAGCTGGAAAGCACCTTGTGGGCCCTTGCGATGGTGGCCTTGTTCTTCTCCCCTTGCAGAAGCCTACGGAGTCGCCTGCCATCTTGCACTCCAGCCCTGAGCCTTGTGGCATCATCTATCCGCACTCCACGGTGGAGATCCCCTTGATTTTGGAGGTCCAGCAAAGAGGGCGGCAGGAGGTCACGGCCCTCGTTGCCATCTTTGGGGACCAAGACCTCCCTCTGGTGAGTGGCCTCTGTGGGAATGGACTGATCAATTGACTGATTGGCCATGGGCTCTAGCTGGGCGGCACCAGGAGGAGGAGGAAGCCAGCTTCACCTGCAAAATGTGTGCATTTTGCAGTATCCGGAAAAGGAATGCCCAGCCAGCGCCCACCTGTGACTTACCCCAGCTCTAAATGTGACCTGAGAAACAAAGAGCTACCTCATCACACTATGTAACACAATCTGAAAAATGTCCTGATCCTGGTTTGAAAGTGTTATTCCTGTTTAATTGTGCAGTCCTTACTTTGAAAGTCTTGCACTCTGGAACAGAAATAACCCTCTGATTTTAAACACCACATATTGGTGTTTATCTTTTATTGAAGATAAGTAAAAAAGCAGCAAAGTAAAAAAGCACTTTAAAGAAATAGGTAAATCCAATTAGGTAAGAAGATCAGCAGGAACAAATTAGTCCAAAGTAGAGTTCAGCAACGTTCATAAACGCAAAGTCCACACATCTAAAATACAATCCAGACAATCAGGAATATATTGATCTAAGGCTTGGGTAAGCAATCATGAAATCCAGGAATCGAAAACCATGAACAAGAAATATCTTGGCATGAAACTTCAAAGCAAGGATGAGAACTTGGTGTGATTCTAAATGATGCTTCATCTGACTACACATCCCAAACTTGAGACTTTTTATCCCCTCATTAGCTAGGTCAGAAATTGGTTTCTCTTTAGTTGAAGCTTTGTTATTGTTTTCTGTCAAAGCCTGACAGAGCACGAAGCCTTTGCCCAGCCCTCCTGTTTTGACTGAACTCTTCTCGTCTATCTCTCGGCTCATTATCTACTTGCTCATTAATTTCTGCAGGTGCTGAGCTATTTCGTGTTCTTTCTCCCCACACCTCTCAGGGACATTCTCAAGGGAAAGTACAGGTCATCTCCTGGTCATTCTCTGCATCAATATCACTGACTAAGCCACTGCCATCTTGAAACTCATCTTGCACCTCGTTAACATCATTCCCCACATCCAACGCACCCTGATCCTGAAACACAATCACAGGCTGAACTCCAACAGAAAGTTATCATTCCACTCCAAAACTTTGTTGTTTTTTTTGTGGCAGCTACAAACTAGGTTGAGTTGCTTGAGACTCGATGTTGAGAGATTCATTGAAAACCAAAGTATTGCATAGTGTTCTGAGTTCACTCTGTTGTCATAGAATTATAGAGTTGGAAGAGATCCCATGAGCCATCTAGTCCAACCTCTGCCATGCAGGAAAAGCACAATCAAAGCACCCCTGATAGATGGCCATCTATCCTCTATTCAAATCCTCCAAGGAAGGAGCTTCCACTGGACTCTGAGGTAGAGAGTTCCACTGTTGAATAGCTTGTATGGTTGAAGTCAAGCTAGACTTTAAGAGGGTCTCCCCAGTAAGAGAGACCCCTAGGACCGCACCAAAGAGGGTCCGCGACCTTGGCGAGCCGTCAGAGAAGCCTGATTCCAGCAATTTTATTAATATTAAAAATTGAAATGAGACTCTTGCCAAGGCGAAGAAGAGGCACCGAGGTTTAATGAGCGATTCAGCTGAAGCAGATGCAATTGCAGTGATCATTCACATGCAAGCATACCAGTACAGAGATCAGAGGCATTTTTATAGGAGTTTCCAGGTTTGAAAGTTCCAAAACTCCCGCCCTCTGCCCTCCGCCCGGCTTGCAGGTGATTGGCTGATGGGATTCCAGCTGGGAGGAGGCGCAGCCGCCCTCCCTGCGTCAGGGCCAATCACAGAGCTCCTCCGCTGCAGAGGAGCCAATGGGAGAGCTTTCCCTACTTCAGTGCCTTGACAAATCAGGAGGAGAGAGGTGGGATGAAAACAGAAACAATGAGCAGGCAAATGAATCAATGGGTGCGATGGCCAGTCTATTGTCCTTGAGTGGAGTTGCGATGATCCTTGATTACTTCCATCCTGGCCTTCCTGCCACAATCAGATAAGGCACAAAAGGGGAGGCTGGGGAAATGTCCGGTTTTGAATGAAGTAAACACAATTGGGAAGGCGGCCCCCTGAGGGGCGTCTCGCTCCTATTGTGAAATGGTCAAAAGTCTGCAGAAGGAGGTCTCAGCCTGATGGCCTTAATCCAGGAGCCTCATAGAGTTTCCAGGTCTTATTTTCCTCTCCAGAGTTCTGGGATATGAGTTCTTTTGTTGTCCCTAATTGCCCTTTCAGCAGCTGGCCGCTTCCTGGATTGATTTACCCAAAGGGAGGGGGAAGGTTTGGGTGTCAGGGCAAGAATAAGGAAAATACATGAGAGAATACAGAAATACACAGAAATTCATATCAAATATCTCCTTCCCCATCCCACCTGCCAAAGAAATGTAATAAAGAAATTATTTTCAAGCAATATGAGTCCATAGTCCATTTTGAGGGAAGTTCATGAGCGAAAAAGATGTCCTTGTGAGTCCAAAACATTAGGCAGAGCTCTTAAAGCCCAAAAGGACAAGTCTGTTGATTTCCCACTGAGCCATTGGGTGGAATTCTGCCACGCTGGGGTCGAAGCTGGTCCTTGGGAAACTACAACTCTCATGAAGGGCAGAAGTCCCAAGATCCAGCTGTTCCCCAAAAGCCTCGTGGGGTCCTTGTTGTTGTTAGTGCCTTGGCAATGTGACTAAGACTTAACCCCTACTGTGCAGTCTGGTGCCCTTGCCCTTTGCAGAACTATAAGTCACTCTCCCTTATTTTGGGGTGGGGGGGGTGCTCGACTTCATGGTCAGGAAGTCCTTCCTAAGTGGAATCTCCTTCCATGTAATTTGAAGCCTTGGCTTCATAGAGTCCTAGTTTCAAGGGCAGCAGAAAGGAAGCCTGCTCCCTCTTCCTAATGCTCAACGCCCCAAAGACTGTGTGCAAGACCAAAGGCCTGAAGGACTGAAGCAGAAACAGGAAGCCTCTGGGGTGTGGCCATGTCCACCTCCCATGCCACTGAATGTCCATCTCCTAATTTGGTCAAGAAAGAAGGGTCCTCTGCTCTTCTGCCTTTTGGTGGGGCCCGACCAATCCCTCCTCTGACCTCTTTGCTCAGATCTGAAACCTTTAGTCTTGGGCGGATCCTTTAGGGCAATGCTCGCCCAACAGCTCATGCTCCATCTTTGTCTTCCTCCCTCTCGTTGATCAGAAGCTCCAGCTGGTGACCTTTGGCGAAGGCCCCGTTGTGTATGTGTATCCTGCCGAGCTGGATTTCGGCAGCATCCCGGTTTTGCAGGACGTTCCCCGGGTGCTAACCCTGGCCAACCAGTCGGTCATCCCGGCCCCGTTTGAGGCTCAGATGGTGAGTGGCACTTGGGGATCTGCTTGGGGGGATCTGAGCCCTTACCTTTGTTTGTGTATTGTCTGTCCTTGTAAATTGTATAACGACACCGAATGTTTGCCATATATGTGTTCATAGTATTTATAATATTATAATCGTTATTTCGTTATTAATTCGTTATTTTTACCATTTCCGAAGCGATATTGAAACATATTTCCAAACCCGGAAGGGTTTTTAAATATCGAACCAGCAACCCCCATAGTTTTAACGAGCCTCCGCTCGTTTCGTTAATGGGGTGGAGGCTGCTGGAGTGCTGGTGCATGGGAGCCAATCCGGCGCTCCCAAGCAGTGCACCATGGGTCCGTGGCTGTCTCTTTTTGATTGGCCGGCGAGCCCTTTCAAAGCGGCTCCGCGCGGCCCGTAGCTTGCTGCAGAGGCGAGGGAGTTTGCATTGGGTTGGCTTGGCAATGGCTGCCTGCTAGCAACTGGGATTGGATTCATTCCTTGCTGCTGTGAGTGCTGCTTGCTTCATTTTCTGTCTCTTGCCTGTGTTTGGTCCACATTTGGGCCATTTTTTGGTTAATTGTCCATTTTAAAATATTTTTAATATTATTTTTAATATTATTTTTAATATTATTTTTAATATTATTTTTAATATTATTTTTTAATATTATTTTTTAATATTATTCTTAAAAAATATTCTAAAAAAGAAAAGACTCTTCTGTTGGTGTGTGCTCTCATTTGCTGTATCCTGCCTGTGTTTGGTCCTTTTTTGGTTAATTTTCCATTTTAAAATATTTTTTAATATTATTTTAATATTATTTTTTAATATTATTTTAATATTATTCTTTAAAAATATTCTAAAAAAGAAAAGACTCTTCTGTTGGTGTTTTCTCTCATTTGCTGTCTCCTGCCTGTGTTTGTTTCATTTTGTTAATTTTCCATTTAAAAATATTTTTTAATAT